TTTTTTAAAAATATTTTATTTATTTCTAGGAGAGAGAGAGAGAGAGACAGCGTGAGCGGGGGGGGGTCAGAGAGAGAGGGAGTCACAGACTCTGAAACAGGCTCCAGGCTCTGAGCTGGCAGTCAGCACAGAGCCGACACGGGGCTCGAACCCATGAACCGCGAGAGATCATGACCTAAGCAAAAGTCGGACGCTTAACCGACTAAGCCACCCAGGCGCCCCCTCCTTTTGATTTTTTTGATCCATCAGTTCAGAAATCTGTTGTTTATTTTCTACATATTTTTGAACTTCCCAATTTTTCTCCTGCTGTTGATTCCTAGTTTAATTCCCTTGTGGTGAGAAAATATAATTGATACATTTTCAGTCTTCTTAAGGTTGTTAAGAGTTGTTTTGTGACGTAACGTGATATATTTTGGAGACTATCCCATGTGTACATGAACAGAATGTGTCTTCTGCTGCTCTTTGTGGAATTACGTTTCTGTGTCTGTTAAGTACATGTGCTGTAGTGGTGTTCAAGTCCACTTTCTCTTTATTGATTTTCTCTTTCTATTCACTGTTGAAAGTAGGGTATTGGAGCCTCTATTACTCTGTTCCTTCTGTTCTCTGCTTTAGTTATGTCTGTGTTTGTTTCTGTATTTATTTGCTGTCATAGTAGGTGCATATGTATATTTATAATTGTTATATCTTCCTGATGAATTGATGCATTTATCTTTATATCTGTATCTATATCTATATCTATATATGTATATCCTTGTTTGTCTCTTATTAAAGTTTTTTTACTTATAGTCTGTTTTGTCTCATGTAAGTATAGCTACCTCTTCCCTCTTTTGTTTCTTATTTGCATGGAAATCAAAAGACTTTATATCTTTTGATTGTGGAGTTTAATGGATTTATGTTTAAAGTAATTATGGTAGGAGAGGACTTAGTATTTCCATTCTGTTAATTGTTGTCTGTGTTATAGTTTGTGTGTGTGTATGTGTGTGTGGTATTGTTGTTGTTCTTGTTGTTGTTATTCTTCTTTACTCCCCTGCTGGCCTTCTTTGTTTTTTTATTGATTTTTTGTAGTGAAATGCTTTGATATCTTGCTCTTTTTCTTTTGTGTATATTCTATATGCATTTTCTTTGTAGTTATCATGAGTTTTACATACACTATATCATAGTTATAATAGTCTGTTTTAAGCTGATGAAACTTACTTCAATTACATGCCAAAACTCTATACTCTTAACCTGTTTCTCCTCTCTATCCACTCTGTTATTGATCTCATAACAGTTTAGTATTTATTTTTATAAATCAGATCTAGTTGTGATGAGCTCCCTCAGCTTCTGTTTGTGTAGGAAAGTCTTCACGTCTCAGTGTTCTTAAGGACAGTGGGATACTATTCCTATTTGGTATATTTTTTCTTTCAAAACTTTTAATGTGCCATCCCAATCCCTATGTCCTGGAAAGTTTCTACAGAGAAATCCCCTGATAGCATATGGGGCTCCATTGTATATGATAAGTCACTTTACTCTTTTTGCTTTCAAAATCCTGTCTTTGACTTTTAACAATTTTATTTGATTTCTTTATGTTCATCTTCCTTTTGTTTTCTTCAGCTTCATGAATCTAGATATTTATACTTCTTAGTTTTGGAATATCTTAGGCCATTATTTCTTTAAATAAATTAATGCTCCTTTTCTCTTTTTAAGATGTGTGTGCGTGTGTCTGTGTGTGTGTGTGTGTTTGTATTTTCTTGATTGTATTGCTTAATCCATTAGGCTTCCTTAACTCTTTTTATTTCTCTTTTCTCTTTGTTCCCCTGACTGGTTAACTTCAGAAGATTTTTAGTTCATGGATTCTTTCTTCTACTTGGTCAAGTTTGTTGTTGGAACTCTATATTGTATTTTTTTTAGTTAATTTATTGTATTCTTCTACTGTGGTTCTTTTTTATAGTTTTGCCTCTGTTGCATTGAGAACATATATTCATATATTGTTGTCTGGATTTCATTTAATTATCTTTCTGTGGTATTCCTTCCTTATTACTTCTTTAATACAATTATTTTGAATCATTTGCCAGACAATTCTAGATCTCCATTTCTTTAGGGTCAGTTACTGGAGATTTATTTTGTTCCTTTGGTTATGTCGTATTTCTCCCTTGTGGCTTTTCATTGGTGTCTGTGCTTTTGAAGAAACAACTACTTTTTCCAGTCTTTAGTGACTGACTTCAAAGGGAAAGATCTTCAGCAGTCAGCACAGCTAGAAGATACTGGGAGCATCAGACAGATGCCTTTTCTGTGATTGATCATGTTCCATAACTCTTCCTTTTTCTCCAAGGGGAAAAATCTTAGTGTTACATGCCTTCTCTCAGTTTTATAGAACCATTCTGACTGTAGTGAGCTGTCAGCCTTTTCCCTTTGGGCAGTACAGAAAATTCAGGGTGCTGGATGCACATTCCATTCTCTTCCTTGCTGGCAGAGAAGTCTCAAGGTTCTGCACCTTTTCCTAACCTTGCAGAACCATGCCAGCAGCAGTAAGCCACCCACTTACTTTCTTTATCTTTAGCTACCCACTTACTTTCTTTATCTTTAGCTACTGTCAGATATCTAAACTATGCTTCTTCTCTTAGTGCTCTGGGTGATGTAATTCAGAAACAATTCCTTTGGGCAGTTCAATGAAAGGCCAGGGTTGTTGGATATATGCTACATTCAGTCTCTTCCCTGTGGGAGAAGTCAAAGCCAAGGTGTTTTCTCTAATGCTGAGTGCTGCCCTGGGGCAGAGGCTGAAATGGGTAAAGTGAATTGTTCTTCTTACTGATTATAATGTGACTATTCCTGGTTTCGTATTATTCTTTGGTACTGAAACTTTTTAACTGGATTTTGATTCTATCATAAAGGTATTTTGGCCCATATAACATTGTTAAATCAGTGTTTTTATGGAGGATACAGGTTGTAACTTCCTATTTCATCATCTTACTAATGTCCTATTTCATCATCTTACTGTTTCTTTTGCTGTATGTTTTATTATATATTAATCTATCTTTTAAAGCCATATCATATATTTTAATAGTTTTTTAAATAGATTAAACTCAAAATATATCTTGCCATTTGCTAGCTTCCTTTCTCTAAAGTATTTTATTGGACTTGCCAACAAATAATATAATTTCTTAAGTTTTCCTTTTCTAGTAAAATAGGATCTCTTTTCTCAAAAAGTAGAACAGCTCATTTAATGTTACACCTTATTCTTTAGATTTTAAGAAGTGTCTATATTCTTGGGAATACATTTAGCATTTTGACTTTTAAATAAGAATTTTAAAGTATAATGTTTCAAGTATAACCCTCTCTTTACTGATATTGTGTTTTTTTTTTACCAAGACATTAGAAATGTCAGAAACTACATTGTTCACTGTAATAAGAAAGCTTTTATAAGTGCACTATAATCATCGACTTCTTTTTCATTGTAAAATATACATAAAATAAAATTTATCATTTTAATCATTTTTAGGTGTATAATTCAGTGGCACTAAGTACATTTACAGTGTTGTGCAACCCATCAACACTATCTGTCACCGTTTTTTTTAATCATTCCAAACAGAATTTCTATATCCATTAAGTAATAATTCCTCATTCCTTTCCCTCCACAGAGCCCCTTTATTCTACTTTCTGTCTCTGAATTTTTATATTCTAAGTATCTCGTATGTATAGCCATATGATATTTGTCTTTTTGTGTTGGGCTTATTTCACTCAGCCTGATGTTTCCAAGATTCATCCATGTTGTAGTATGTGTCAGAATTTCACTTTTTTTTACCATTGGGCTCTTGAATGTTTTTAATGGTAATTCCTAACTTATGTACTTCTTTGAAGACATAAGAAATTTTATTATAATTGGAATATCTGGAATGTGAATACCATTTCTCTACAATACTATCCCCGGTGTCATATATGTAGGTCCATATTACCCAGAATTTTAGTTTGCTTCTCTCTTGACCATCCTTTCCTTTTTCAGTTTCCTGAAAATATCAACTGGTTCCAAATGTCACAGCTTTCCATCTTACATTCCACTGGCTTGTCTACTTGAAACCAGTAGCTCAGACACATTTTCTCTGAAACTGTAGGATGCTAAGCTGAGCATGAGAGGTGTCACTGAGAATGCTTGTAATATCATTATATGTAATTATATAAATATTATTCATAATTAAAGAGGTACTCAACTTGGAACCGGTAGTGAAGTTAATATGTGGTCAGGACTTCCTACTTATCTTACATAAAAGATAACAATAAATGGCTGCCTTGATTATTTATTCATTTCCTACATTTTGACAATTGATTAATCCATTTTTATGTGAGAGTTCTAGTTTATGTAATTTATGTATGTTTATTTTTCACTACAAAAGGGGTGTATAAGGGATGCATGAGTGGATCAGTTGGTTAAGTGTCCAACCTCAGCTCAGGTCATAATCTCATGGCTCATGAGTTCAAGCCCCACATCAGGCTCTGTGATGACAGCTCAGAGCCTTAGAGCCTGTTTCAGATTTTGTGTCTCCCTCTCTGTCTGCTCCTATCCGACTCACACTCTTGTCTCTGTCTTTCTTTCAAAAAGAAAATAAACAAAAATTAAAAAAAAAAAACCTAATGTGTAGTCATACAATATATACCTAAGAAAAAGTCTTTCAATAAAACAACAATCTTACATTGCTGTAAAATTACTTTGGATTAATCAAAACCTGTACCATTTAAATATTTACTACAGGTAAGCAAAGAGAATCAAAATGCAAAAAATAAATTACAGCATCCCCTGGCTTACAGACAGAAGGCTGAATTATGGTAGAGAAGATAAATGGAAACTTTGAAGTACCTTTGAATTTATCACCCATATTTTTTCATTAAAATGGTATAATTGACATCTACACATATGAATACTGACAAAATGTATTGAACCTGTGAAACATAGCATGGGCATAATTAAAACATAAAACATTATTTAGTATAGATTGATTTTTTAACCCTAATATTTTCTTTTTTGGTAGTCAAACAAAAATTTGGATATTTCAATTAATGCATCAAACAACTTTAATCTCAACATTACATGGTCAGTTGGTTCAACAGGTAAGAAAATTTTGTTGTCACGTCTTTCACATTTGTTTGTATATGGAAGATGTTCTAATGTGACTGTTTTTGTTAATTCAAATAATTGAAATTAAAAAATATGTTATAATAATTGTGCTGGTTCAGGTATAAGTAATAGGTAGTAGTATTAATAAAGTTTCATTACTCTGTTAACTTTCTTCCTTATTCAATTAAAGTTGAATAAATTCAAATATTATACACCACTTACTATTTTAAAATGACATTGTTATGAATTGCTGATTTTAATTAAGATAGAGTACTTCTTTAATGATTGAGACTAAGATTTCAATTATTTATTCACTCTCGAAAAGCTATAAATTTAATTATTAACCTTAATATTGATATAAAACAAATTCTGTGCATGTTGATAAATTAACAGGTTTTTTATTCCTTTTCAACTTAGAAATATACCCTCACCTTTGTCAGCTTTGATGCTGAGAGAGGATTTTAAAAAACCCTCTCCTTAATAGGTCTTCTGTAATAAGTTATAGAAGTTGACAATTTTGACTATTAAAAAATAGAACCAAGGTGAAATACAAACTGCCTGTTCGACAGTATGCTCACTTTTTTGGGTATTTATATCTTAAGAAATTATATGGATTTTTATTTTCTATATCAAAGATATACTGTTTTATAAATGTGTTGGAATCTTCCTTAAAGAAAACGTGGATTCTGGGGTGCGTGGGTGTCTCAGTCAGTTGGGCATTCAGCTCTTGGGATCTTGATTTCAAGGTCGTGAGTTCAAACCCCATACTAAGGTCCTGTACTGTGCATGGAGCCTACTAAAAAAGAAAGAAGGAAAAGAAAACATATGTACTCTTAGGTCATTATGCTATTTTAATATGTAATCGTGGAGACATAGAATTCAAGAGTGACATAGTTTCTGCAATTCTAGAACCTATAGTATATATGTTAAAAAATTGAGAAGTTTGGGCAAATATATATACATTTTACTACAACGGTGCCCAACCTATCGTAAAATCTTGTCACTGTGAGCTTCATTAATTAAGAATTCATGAAAACTTGTACTACCAATTTGAAAACTACTCTGGCATAATAAACTGACTCCAGAAGAGTTCTAAAATTTGTCAACAAAAATATACAAAACCTTTATAGTTAGATTAGAATGATTGTTTTAGTATGCAAGAAATTACTTGTAACTTTCAGATTCCCAAAACCAAATTTCAGAAATTTTGGTTTATCAGATTGGGAGATGGGATCATGAAACAGCAACCCAGGTAATTTTGGATTAGGTGATGAGTTAGAAATTAATTCACTTGCTCAGTATACTAGTTCTAAATATTTTTACTGTTTGTTAAAGTGGAGGGCTCAGTAAGACTGTTGGAAATGCTTTGTTCCATTTGGTTAATTTCAGTAAATATTTATTGAGTATGCAATATGTGTTTAACTAATTGAACATTTAGCTCATGTTTTAAATTACAGCCTCCTTTTAATTTGTTCAAAGTAGTGATGGTTCAATTTGTTGTTAAGACAAATAAATTGATTTCTTTTCTATGTTTTAATTGGATTGAGACATGTGAAATATGTCCTGATTTGTTTTGAGAGGCTCTATGGAGTAGTAAATAGAAAGAATTCAGTGTCTGGAGCTAATATATACCTGAGTTCCAAAGAGGAATTTACCATTCAGTAGCTATAGATTTAAGACTAGTGTTTTAATCTTTCTCAGGCTCAGGTTTCAATTTGAAAAAAATAGAGATGGAATACCTCTGGGATAAAATTGTTATTAGAGAAGAATATAAAGTGTCTTTACCAATGTTTAGCCCATAGCACTTAATCAGTGGTATCATTAAAAAAAATAATTTTATACTGTTTCCATTACATTTATGATTATCTTATTTCTCCTTTATCACTCTGAATAGTAAACAAGTTTATTTTGATAGTTATTTTTATAAGTGCAATTATAAAAATTAAGTAAATACATATTTTTAAGTTTAAAAAGATCATTTTTTCCCAGTATAAAATTTTAAGGCTCATTTTTATTATTATATTTTAGCTGGAACAATATCTGGAGAGGAGACTCCTATAATGTCCAAGACTAATATAAAGGAATACAGAGATAGTTTTTCCTATGAAAAATTTAACTTTAGAAGCAACCCTAACATTACATTCTATGTGTACGTCAGCAACTTTTCCTGGCCTATTAAAATACAGGTAAGTGCTAATAGTATTTACCATTATGACCATTGAATATTTTCTTTACAAAAACAGTGCTACTTTTGTTCAAAGTAATGATATGGAAAAGATTTTTATTTTTTGAACTACATGATGCAGGTGTGTACCCTTGATAAAAAGGGTACATTAAATGTCTATGATGATGAATGTCTTTATAAAAAAAGTTCATACTTATGATATTGAATCATCAATGCACTGATTCTTTACTGAAATCATATTCTAAAAATGCATTAAGGGGCGCCTGGGTGGCTCAGTCGGTTGAGTGTCCGACTTTGACTCAGGTCATGATCTCATGTTTTGGGAGTTTGAGCTCCACATCGGGGTTTGTGCTGACAGCTCAGAGCCTGGAGCCTGCTTTGGATTCTGTGTATCCCTCTCTCCCTCTCTCTCTCTCCCTCTCTCTCTCTCTCTCTCTCTCTCTCTCTCTCTCTCTTTCTCTGTCCTTCCCCTACTCATACTCTCTCTATCTCTCTCATAAATAAACATTAAGAAAAAGAATATTTAAAAAGTTACTTGCTGTTTTTAGAATCTGATTTTTGCTTTATTATATACTGAACATAATTTAAACTTTCATTAAAAATTTAAGGTAAGCAACTTAACAGTTCTTTAAGACCCACTACCTCTCACTGTTGATTTCTTTATGCTATATATATATATATATATATATATATATGTATTTCTGTCTTTTTTCTTTCGCATTGTATATTTCATTTTTATTGTCTGCAGGGATAAGCTGCGAAAGGCTTTAGATTTATTGCTAGGAAACATTTAGGAAGTTCTTTCTATCTTGAAATATTCAGGGTTCGTGTTCTTAATTTATGCTTTTATGAATGAAAAACCTGTGTGTTTTAGTGTTGGGATTTGTTCATATATTCATTCTTTTATGACTTATTATTTGATTAGATGGAATTCAGATTAGTTTATGCAATATCTCATATGTATCAAGGTCTGTGCTAGGTTATTATGTTTTTTAATTTTATTTTTTTATTAAATATATATATACTTTTACAAATAGTTTAATGTCAAATTGGTTTCCACATAACACTCAGTGCTCGTCCCCACAAGTGCCCTCCTCCATGCCCATCCCTCCTCCCCCCCACATCCATCAGTCCTCAGTTTTTGTCAGCATTCAAGAGGCTCTCATGGTTTGCCTCTCTCCCTTTCCCCCACCATTTCCCCCCTTCTTCTCACCCTTGTTCCTCTGTCAGTTTCCTCCTAATCCTCCTATACGTGCAAACGACACTGAGATACCACCTCACACCAGTCAGAGTGGCTAAAATGAGCAAATCAGAGAATTCTAGATGCTGGCGATGATGTGGAGAAACGGGCACCCTCCTACACTGTTGGTGGGTATGTAAACTGGTACAGCCCCTCTAGGAAACAGTGTGGAGGTTCCTCAGGAAACTAACAATAGAACTCCCCTATGACCCAGCAAAAGCACTGCTAGGAATTTACCCAAGGGATACAGAAATGCTGATGCCTAGGAGCACATTACCCCAATGTTCATAGCAGCACTCTCCACAACAGCTAAAACATGGAAAGAGCCTAAGTGTCCATCAACGGACGAATGGATCAAGAAGATGTGGTTTATCTATACCATGGAATACTACATGGCAATGAGAAATAAGTCAGGCAGAGAAGGTTATTATGTTTTAAAATCGTTTAACAATGTACATGGGGCACCTGGGTGGCTCAGTTGGTTAAATGTCCAATTCTTGATTTCAGTTCACTTCATGATTTCATGGTGGTGAAACCGAGCCCCACATCACGCTCTGTGCTGGGCATGGAGTCTGCTTAATATTCTCTCTCTCCCTCTCCCTTTGTGTCCTTTTGTGTGTGTGTGTGCGCGCGCGTGCGCACACACACACACTGTTTCTCAAAAAGAAATTGTAGATTATGTCTTCCCTTTTATATAGTGACAGTTTACAATCTGTGACTGAAAATGTTTGTATGGGTTTTATTTTTAGGTTTCAAGTTTTTATTCAAATTCTAGTTAATTAACATACAGTGTAATATTGGCTTCAGGAGTAGAATTTAGTGATTCATCACAAGTGCCTTCCTTAATAGCCATCACTTTTTTAACCCACCTATCTCCCTCCATCAACCTTCAGTTTGTTCTCTATAACTAAGAGTCTGTTTTATGGTTCGCCTCTCTTTTCTTCCCCTCCCCACCATGTACATCTTGTCATTTATTATATTCCACGAGTGAGATCATATGGTATTTATCTGTTCTGTGACTTACTTTGCTTAGCATAATACACTCTAGCTCCATCCACATTATTGCAAATGGCAAGATTTCTCTCGTTTTGGTGGTTGAGTAATATTCATGTGTGTGTGTGTGTGTGTGTGTGTGTGTGTGTACATAATACATACATACTACATCTTCTTTATCCATTCATCAGTTGATGGACATTTGGGATCTTTCTATACTTTGACTGTTATTGATAGTGCAGCTATAAACAACAGGGGACATATGTCCCTTTGAATCCGTGTTTTTGTATCCTTTGGATAAAAACCTGGTAGTTCAATTGCTGGATCATAGGGCAGTTCTATTTTTAACTATTTGAGGAACCTTCATATTGTTCTACGTATTGGCTATATCAGTTTGCATTCCCACCAACAGTGTAAGAAGTTTCCCCTTTCTCTGTTCCTAACCAACATTTGTTGTTCCTGTGTTATTACTGTTAGCCATTCTGACAGGTGTGAGGAGGTATCTCATCCTGGATTTTACTTATATATCTCTGATGATGACTGATATTGAACAACTTTTCATGTGTGGGTTGACCATCTGTATCTCTTCCTTGGAAAAATGTCCACTCATATCTTCTACCCATTTCTTAACTGGATTATTATTTTTTTAAATATTAATTTCTGTGAAATTTGTGGGGACATGGTATTTTTAAAAGTCATATATTTATGGGAAAAATATTTTCACATTTATGGCTAATTTAATATCTAAATTAAGGAAATTAGCTATTCAAGAAATATTATAAATTATTACTCAGTAATGGGAATTATTTGATAAACTTATTTCTTCATTGTATAGTGCTTTATTTCAATGGTGTTATAGTCAGAAAATTCTGGAAATGTTTCCACATAGTTTTTTAAAATTTTGACATTGGTGATGTTGGATATATCTTTTTATTTTCTAAGATTTATATGGAAATGTGAATCAGTTTTCACTTGGCTTCTTGTGATTATGTTTAAAGGAAACTAAAGGTCTCATCTGTTGACCCTATTAAGTAGTAATTAAAATTGATATAATTGTTACCATTTTAATTTTTTTCATGTTCTTCATGTCTTGGTTATCTAATTATTTCATTTTTAAGCAAATTACATAGTTATTATAGAATGTTAATGAATATTTAATGACTAAATATTAACTTTTTAATTTGGAGTTTCATTTGAGAACATACTAGTAACAAACTACTAGAAGCCAAACCTGAGTGTGTAATAAAGCTGAAATATTCCACTTTCTCTAATTAATAAAATTTAGCATATAATTGTGATGGTCGAAATGATTAGAGCTGAATTCCTACTGTGTGATTAAAGTCATTGCATTCGTTCTAAGGAATATGTTATATTGAACCATATGAGTATATATGTTTTATAGGACTATAATAAACTTTCAATTATTAAATATAAAATAGTAAGAAGATTTTAATTAGTTATATTTACTAATAGAATTGAAATACTCGATCCACTTGTGAATGTTTAACCTACCTTGTTATACAGAGATAAGCTCCTCTTGGTCTTTTCGTGTTATTTTCTCATGTATTGTTGTATTTGCTGTCTTAAAATTTTGTTAAGAATTTTTATACCTATATTTATTAGGGCTTTTAGTCTATAGTTTTTTATTCTTGTAATGTTGTTTGACTTTGTATCATTGTGTTGCTGCCCTTATAAAATGTGTTGGGAAATATTACTTCCTCTGTAGCTTTCTGAAATATCTGTGTATCTGAAATACACACAGATATTATTATTTTTTTCCCCTTGAATTTGTGGTAGAATTCAACAATGAATTTATTTGGACTAATAGTTTTCTTTGTGGGAAGGTTTTAACTAAAAAATCCAATTTCTCTAATAAATTTAGAGCCTTTCTGGTTTTCTATTTCTTTTGGAGTGAGCTCTATCAATTTGTGTCTCCCAGTTGTATTTCTCCCATTTGACTTAATTTGTAGAATTTATTGGCAAAAGATTGTCAATAATATTCGTATGTTATTTAGTGATGTCATCACTCTCATTTCTGATATTTATAATTTGTTTCTCCTCTCTCTATTTCATTTTTTCCCCGCTTTGTCAGTATGGCTAGAGAGTTATCACTTTCATTGATTTTTTTTTCTTAAGGAAACAAATGTTTTCTTTTTTTTCTCTATTTTTTTTAATTTCATTAATTTCTACTCTTTATTCCCTTTCTTTTACTTACTTTGAAATTATTCCTTTTTTTCTTATTTCTTAAGGTGAATAGTTTCTAATTTCCTTTTTTTTTAAGTTTACTATTTTGAGAGAGAGGAAGAGAAAGAGAAGTGAATGGGGCAGAGAGAGAGGAAGAAAGAATATCAAGCAGGCATTTTTCTTGTGGTTAACTTCAAGTTTCATAGCATTGGAGTCTGAAAATATGCATGATATGATCTCAGTCTTTTTGTACTGCTCAAATACTCCTTCTGCCGCTTTTCCCCTTCTCTTTTTCTCTGAGTTTCCTATGATATGAACGTTGTTATGCTTTATGGAGTTGTTGAGTTCCCTATGTCTACATTTGTGATCCAGTATTTTTCTTTTCCTCTTCTTTTCAGCCTCATTATTTTATCTTCTATATCATTTATAAGTTCTTCTTCTTCTGTCCTGTGTTCATTAGGGCCAGTTGGTTTTGCAAATTGGTTACAGCACTGTTTTCAGCAAGACTAGCTTTTAGTTCTTTTATCTCTGCAGTAAGGTACTACCTGGAGTCTTCTATGCTTTTCTGATGCCTAGCTAGGATC